TATGTTTATGTATATATGTACATATATATATAAATATGTGCGTGTGTTCTTTGTCAAGCTATATCTTCACCTCTATATATATATATATATATCTACCAACAACTAACTCTGCTCCCTCCCTCACCCATCCACTCACTCAGCTGCCAGTCCTGCCCAGCCCAAGCGAGCGTCGGTGCACCTGAGTGATGGGGGGGTCAAGGGTGCCACCAACATACTCGACACAATTCTCAACGCCATCCCCGCCATTGACGAGGGTCTAGCCATAGCCTTCCAAACGAAACTCTACTCCAGCATCATCGCACACGTTGATGCCATGAGCAGCGTGCAGCTGGTAGCGTATCTAGCCACGTACGAGGGCATGTTCCAACATCTGTGTGAGGTGGCTATGCGCATGAGTGACTGTGTGGTCAACGGCACCTTCAACGGCCCCGCAACGGCTGTGTGGGGCTTACAGGTGCGCATTCTGGTGGATATGGAGAGGCACGCGAGCCTGGACATGGTCAAGACACTACAGAAGGTGCACCGCAGCCTCAACGTGTGTATTGTGAGCGAGCTTATGCAGACCAGCGTCACATCAACCGCTCTGAGGGACGTGTTAGACGATGTGTTGGATATACAGAACGTGGTGTTTCAACCTAGCAACACGGACGTTGAGTTCCTCGAGACCCTCACCAAGATACTTCTGGACGTGCTCGAGAACACACGCGCGGCCGCACGTGACGGGGCGTTTAATCTGTGGAAGCTCATGTTCCTGCAGAAGGTTGAGGAGATGCGGTCCATCTGCACGGTGCTGGGTGAGCACAACGAAGTAGTGGACCTGTACGACCGTATCTTTGAGTATCTGATGAGTAATGCGTTGGATCAATTGAGCGCCTTCTTGGCCACACACCACAGCCACCGCACAGGTCTCACACGCAACTCGTCGGGCGGATGGCTGCACTATTCGAAGAAGGTGTGGGTGTGCAACGGGCGTTAGGGTTGGGTTTGGGGTTTGGTCTGGGTTGGGTTTGGGGTTTGGCCTTTGTATATTGTTCATCTCTGGTTGCGATTAGGGTTTGGTCTGTGCTAAGTTTAGAGTTCAGTCTCTGTAGTGGTTCATCTCTGGTTGTGTTTAGAGTTTGTCTTGTAATATGTTTAGATACTGCATCTCTGCTTCTTCTACTTATGGTGTGTTCTGCTTCTCCTACTCAAGGTGTGTTCTCTAGCCCACGTAGGTCGTCAGGAGGGGAAATACACAGTGTGCTGTGTTTTCTTGCTTGCGTGCATGTGTGTGTGCTTACCTCCTTGCTTGCATGTGTGTGAGCTTACCTCCTGGTTTGCATGGTTGTGAGCTTACCTCCTGGCTTGCATGGGTTTGAGCTTACCTCCTGGTTTGCATGGGTGTGAACTTACCTCCTGGCTTGCATGGGTGTTAGCTTACCTCCTGGTTGCATGGGTGTGAACTTACCTCCTGGCTTGCATGTGTGTGAGTTTACCTCCTGGCTTGC